GAAGAAGAAGAAAAGAAAGGAAGGAAAAAGAAGAAGAAGAAGAAAGAAGAAGAAAAGTTAACCGTTCGTACGCGATATATATATATATATATATATATATATATACTGTTGCTCCTCTCCCTTTCCGTGGTGTCGCGCTTCACGCTTTTCGCTTCCTCTTTCTCTCTTTCTTGTACGGCGAGGGGGACGCGTACGCGGAAATGCAAGCATCGGCAGATGCCGATCAAGCGGACTCGGCAGAAAATCGATTCATCGGCCCGGCTGGCGCGAGCCACCGACCACTCGATTTGAAATCGAAGCGGTCGCGGGGCAGACCAGAACAGGAAGTGACCTGGTTTCTCGTGGTAGGACATGCCGCTCGACTCGCCTCCTCGAGCACAAGGAATCCAGGATTTTCAGATTTTACGATCAACTGTCATCCTCGCGCCAAACCCAATATCTCCGTAGTCCTCGTTGTAATCGTATTTCAATTCTCGATTCTTAAAAATCTTTCTCCCGCACGAATAATTATTCCCGATTTTTCTTCACTTCTCGATACACCGTTTCACGCTCGAATTCTTCTTACGATTCATCTGAGATCTGTCTGATCGCGACGTTTAACAGATATATAAATATGAAAAAAAAAAGGAAGAAGAATTATTACAACGTATAAACACGTACGAGTTTTTTTTTTCTCTTAAAAAGCCGATTAAAATATCTCTTCAATTTTTTCCACGAGCCAGGAACGAGAAACGTTTCTCTGCCGAGATGTTGTGCGCAAAATCGGCGGTGAGAACGGGAGGAGGAGGAGGAGGAGGAGGAGGAAGCGAAAGAGAGAGAGAAGGAAAATGGTGCTTACTCGGTAGTATCGGAATCGCCTCCGGTGGATCAGCCTTGATCCTGTTTGCCGGCTGCCAGGTGAGCAAGGAACGCGTGAAAGTGGTACCGTGACCTTTCCGGCTTGCACTTGGTACCGCTTCGGCGTTGACCTTAGCACGAGTTTCGGCGTTCCGTGGATCGCAACGAAAGCACGAGCCACGCGAAAAAATAAACGGGCTGCGATTGTATGGGCCGGCCGGCTCACGTGTCGCGTACGATGGCAAGGTCGTTAGCATGGGGAACGAGTTTTCAGCAGCCGTGACGACGAGGTGTCGACGAATTCAATTTTCACACTGACTCACACGCGTCGAAATTCTTTTTTCTTTTCTTTTTTCTTTTTTTCCTCCCTCCCCCCTTCTCCTTCCTTTCGGAAGGAGTTGAAAACGGAGTTGTAAATAAATCTCTCCTCCAATAATTCTCTCTCGAGGATAATAATTCGAAATATATATATATATATAAATATATATATATATATATTATTTTTTTTTTACGAGAGAAGATTTCTCGTGAGGAGATTC